TCTCTCTCTCTCTCTCTCTCTCTCTCTCTCTCTCTCTCTCTCTCTCTTTTTCAATGGCTACCTCCTCACTGACCACAAACAAACACTGGGCACTCTCATGCCCACTGAAGGTTGAGATGATGCCTCCCCAGAAATATTTGTAACTTTTGTGCCAGTCTGCTTTATAGCTAAAGCAAGCCACCAAATTTCCCTACTTACATATGTTTGCTGCTCTGCACTGAAGCCCATAGAACTGAGGCTGAATGATGGCCAGGAGAAGTCTGATTTTCTTGGCAGGCTCAGGTATTAGAAAAGGTTCAGAGACTAGAATGGTTGGCTTTATGTCAAGTTGAAACAAGCTAGAGTGTTTGGAAAATGGGAGCCTCAACTTAATATGCCACAACAGGATTGGCCTCTGGAAAAGCCTGCTATATTTAATGTTTAATAGTATATTGATATTGCTGGGTCCAGACAACTTCAAGCAAATTCAACCCCTTTGCTATCAGTCCTGGGAGGATAAGAAGAAACATAGGACACTGAACAAGCTATAAGGAGTAGGCCAGTAAGCATAAAATTCCTTTTATCTGCATGAGATCCTAGATTATTTTTACAGACCTCTGATCCTTGGGGTTGATAAATACCCCAGTTTGAAATGATTGACCTAAAACTCTGGTTCCCTCTAAGCACTGAGAAAAGTAAGGGCAATGTCCATTCAAATAATTCCCAGGATCACTGTAGTTAAATCTGGGACAGATTAAATCTGGACAGATTCATAGCTTACTGGTACTCACTTCCCTGTGAGAATGCAGTAATTTCCTCATATACATTGCTACATCTCTGATTCTTGGCAGACTCAGACACCTTAAGCTGAATTACTTCCCAAAAAATGACTTCTTTGGTACAAGGGAGAGTCAGACAACAAAGTCTGATCTATGGCTGTTCAGCTCCATCTTGTGTGTCCTCCACTAAGGGCACAAACCTCAACATGGTAGCACAGTGCACTGGATGAAGGAGGCACAGTACAGACATGACAATCCTGTGAGTCTAAGCCCCACCCAGACCTGAAAAATCACAGAGAACTACTTACTGTCCAGCTGGAGTTGCACATGTGCTACTTCGTCCTTCAGATCTGTACTCATAGTTCGTAGAGTATAGAATCCACTATCACTCAGTGTGACCTTCTGGAGCAGCAGGGATCCATTGCTGTACACTGTCTCTCGACCACTGTGTGCAGGCCCTGCCATACTTTTTGTGTCTATTATGTAATGGATGAGCTCAGATTCCTTCTCTGCAATCACCCCTTTGAACCAGAAAAGGGATACAAGATTTTTTGGGAGATTGTGAACCAGCAGAAGAACACTTTCACCTTCAGCAATGTTGGGTGGCACTGGTTCAATACTGAGTTGTCCAGTGATGTTTGAAACAGAGGCTAGATGCAAAAAGAGAGAATTGTATTAATTATGACCTTTGTGTTTTCTTAAGATGAAGCCTTCTGTCCTGAGAAGTGCTCATTGTAAAGCCTAACTATGTGGGGGAGTGTCTCCCTGTCCTACTTTGTGTCCTTTTACTTGTGGTATTCTCTACATGGTGCTCTCTACTCAGATGTCAACATGGTTCTGGCTCACTCTCTTCAGATCCCTGATATCATTCAGCACAGAGTGGTGTAACATCATACCTTTGTCTCTACACACACTGCATCTTAACTCCCTTATTCTTTGTTTTTGATGTTATTGTTATTTTTGTTCTCTTCTCTACTTCTTGTGGTTCCAATTACCTGACTTCAGATTTCATCTTTCTTTAATGGCCACACTTCCAGTCAAATGAATCTGGGACATTATAAGATGTGGGTTTTCTCTTATAATTTTTTAGGAAATGCAGCCTAGGAAAAAGAATCAGATACCTCTAGATAATAAATGAAAGAAAGAATGAGTGAATGAAGTTGTAGAATTCTTTATGTCTCTCCATATATGTACTTATATAAAAGATTAATGCATATTTATGTATACATATATACATATATGTATATATGTACATACATGTATATGACACATAGGTTTTGGTATAGAGATCTAAATTTTTCCAATTGCTTTCATTTTAAACTTATTTATATATTATACTTGTGTGTGAGTCCTGTGTAAAGCTGTGTTTTAGTGTGTGTGCAGCATGCAGGAAACAGCACCTAGGTGGTGGTTAGAGGGCACACTGTGTTCCTAACTTCTCAGGTTATCAGACAATGAAGCAAATGCCTACATGCATTAATTCATGTCACTGCTCAACATGAGGGTAATTTTTTGCTAGCAAAGGCTTAGCTGAGAACATTAGTCTTCCTAGAATTCTTGACAAGGTAATAAACTTTACATAAGAAAAGTCTCACACCCATCCTTAAATTTTATATTCACTATGAGATTCCTGATGAAGAACTTCTCTGTGGCTCTTTGTATTCTTTTCTAAAACCTCAAGACTTTTCTCAGGACCTTTTGCCTATTAGGAGAATCAAGACAGCAGAGGGATCTACTGTCATGCTCCTGCTCACCTGTGAGCAAAGCTCCTGACAGATGGTGTACCCTTTGCAAAGAGTCACAAGGGTATCCTTCTTTTGTTAAACTTCAGCTCCAGCACAGCTCCTGAACTCAGATGTACTTTCCCTCTCTGAGTGGTGCCTACTCCGAGGCAGCAGCATCTCCCAGAGTCCCATGAGTTATGAATGGGTCTGTGTTCAAAACACTACTCTGGCCCCTCAACTCTCAGTACTTCCCAGTGTCTCTCTCCCTTTTCTCTCTTTAAATTTTATTTCTCCAAATCACACTGTGGTCAAAAAAGTTGATAGGTATTCCTGTGCACTGAGAGAACAACAAATTAACTCAGGGCTGATATCTGTGATGTACTGGATTTTGTCTGTCAGCACAAAAGAGAGAGACAAACCAAGCTGCAGATACAGCCTACTCATTGATCACAAAAAGATGAAATTTTTTCTCTCAGCTAAAAGAGGACAGAGATGCCTGTGAGGGCAACAAACAGGACAAGCTGAGTGACGCATGAGGAAAGGGGCAGAATGCTTCGGAATGGAGCCACCAGGCAGCATTCTGAATCAAGACGAAGGACCAGGAGGAGATTTATGGAGTTTCCAACCTTGGGTTTATATGAGTTGGTAACCTGAGTCCTGAAAAGACAGAGTGGACTCCATTGTACCCTGAAGAGTTTCAAGATGATACTCCCGGATCACTTGATGAGTTGTGTGATGGGTCTGCCTATGTGCTCCCTGGGCTTTCTTGGATTCCCTGGACTTCTTTTTAGGTGATGTCGCTCGGCTAACTAATCTTTACAAAAAGAACGGAACAAAATAGATAAATGAACATGATTCCCTGGAAGAATAGCAAACATGGGAACCAGCCATTAGGTCTAAAAAGGCTGTGTCCTTGACTTCCTGATCTATAGGGGAAGAAGTAGAAGCCAGGCTAAAATGTAAGGTCATGGTTTAGATAAACACTATTCTGAATATGTATTGTGTGTCACAAGAGTGCAAATATTCCTAACTGGGAAAACTGCAGCTCATGCATGGGAAACTATCCAGATAAGCATAGCCTGCTCTAATTTCGCCTGCAGAAAAGAATTCCCTGAGCCAAATCCCAGAGGACAAATATTTTTATTGAGGACTAATGTCCTTTTCTCTCTAACTAGCAACCATGACATTCCTATAAGCCCCGTAAGCCCATCAGGACAGTTAATTAATAGTATAGGAACATGTCCAGATATGCTATCCTTGCTCAGTAACTAGGGAGTATCTCACTATTTTCTCAACTAGGTACTCTCATTCTCTATCAAGATCCTTCTCAAGGACATGTTCCTGGACAGAATCCTAAAGTGTAGACAGGGGCTGATACCTTTGGGATGAGTTAAACACCATAAATTAAGGTACCTGCATTTTGAAATCAAATGAAGCATTCTAACCAATTGCACTTAGTCTGTAACATTTGGACAAAATGCCAAAGCCAAAAATGAAGGTACAACAGTGAAGTTGTCTACTCTATGTGTATATGGAAGTGTAAATACCCAGTGAAGAAAATATGCAATGGGAAAGTGAGTAGGTACTGCTTCTTTTATACAGTTCAGTGTATAAAGCAGGATAAGCCATGCAACAGGAGGCCATCAAGAGTAACTTATTATTTACATGGAGTTGAATGGAGTTGAATGTAGGATTTTTCAATTTTGAAGTCTTTGCTTAAAATTTCTAGCATGTAAAATCCTGAATGGATCTCAGTGACACCAAGTATCAGCAGTGTTCCACTGGGGTATCCAATCTCTCTTCCACTGTATGAGGCCCTGATATATCAGAATCCAAGGCTCTGCTGTATTCTACTATTTTGAATTTATCTGACATATATGCTGATTTGTACCAGAAAAAATGCTTGAAAGTTGTCTGGCAAATTATGAACTAGGAGAAGAATATTTTTCTGTGAGACTGATTCAATCTTGACTTGCAAAGGGTGACAGCAACTAGAAAGGGAGGCTAGACAAAAAAAGAGAAAAATAATTATCACTGGGAATATTTGGTTGGTGGGAAAGTGCTGATCTTTGTCATAAGCAAATAGATTTATCACTAAGTTTAAAGCGGCAGGTGTGGGTATATCTATCCTACTTGGTGAATGTCAGCAATGTGACTTCCATTCTCTCAGGGACATGGAGTGTATCATTTCTTTGCCAGGATATATCTCTCTCTCTCTCTCTCTCTCTCTCTCTCTCTCTCTCTCTCTCTCTCTTTCATTCTCCCACTTGTTTTTTCCATATCTGCCCCCTTACTGCCTTCAATCAGATACTAGGCACTCCTATGCCCACTGAAGTTTGAAATGATGCCTCCTCCGAACTCTGTATTTTTACTCTAATTTGATTTATAGCAACAGAAAAACACTAACTGCACAAGATGGATGTGCTTCCTGCAATACCATGCACCACAAAGGATGAATGATGGAAAGAAGAAGTCTGATTTTTCTCTCAGGCTCACATAGTATAAAAGGTTGGGATTTAGAATGGCTGACTTAAGTAATCTTGATACGTGCTAGAATCCTTTGTAAAATAGAAGTCGGAGTTTAATACACCACTACAAAATTAACCAATAGTATATGTTTAATAATATATTGATATTGCTGGGTCCGAACCACTTCAGGACATCAACCACTGGTTGAATAATAAAAGGAAACACAGCATACTGAGCAAGCCATAATGGACAAGACTGTATGCAGCACTCCTCATTTTATCTGCATGACATCCTAGATTATATTTACAGACCCCTAATGATTGGAGCTGAAAAATACCCCAGTTTGACATGATTAGCCCAAAACCCTGGTTCCCTCTAAGCACTAGTAAAAGTAAGAGCAATTTACTGGCAAACAATCCCCAGGATCACCTATGGCCACTCCTGTGTCAGATGACTGTATTCATAGCTTACTTGTATTCAGTTCTCTGTGAGAATGCAATTGTTTCATCACATACATGGCTACAACTCTGATTCTTGGCAGACTCTGACATCTTAAGCTGAGTTGCTCCCCAACAATAACTTCTTTGGTACAGGGGAGAGTCAGACAACAAAGTCTGATCTATGGCTCAACCGTGTGTGGCCTGCACTAACTGCTCAAACAACAACATGGGGACACAGTGCACTGGATGAAGGAAGCATAGAACAGGCATGACAATCCTGTGAGTCTAAGCCCTACCCAGACCTGAAAAATCACAGAGAACCACTTACTGTCCAGCTGGAGTTGCACATGAGCTACTTCATCTTTTAGATCTGTACTCATAGTTCTTAGAGTATAGAATCCACTATCATTCTGTGTGACCTTCTGGAGCAGCAGGGATCCATTGCTGTACACTGTCTCTCGACCACTGTGTGCAGGCCCTAGCACACTTGAACTTGTGGCTATTATGTGTTGGATGAGCTCAAATTTTTTCACTGCAATCATCCCTTTGTACCAGAAAAGGGATAGAAGATTTTTTGGGAGATTGTGAACCAGCAGAAGAACACTTTCACCTTCAGCAACACTGGGTGGCAAGGGTTCAATACTGAGCTGTGCAGTGGAGGAAGAGTCCTTGAAGTTTGAAACAGGGGCTAGATGCAAGGAGAGAGAGTCATATTAATTGTGACCTTTGTGTTTTGGTAAGATGAGGCCCTGTGACTGAAGAATGCTAATTTTAAAGCCTAGCTGCGGGTGAGTGTAAACCTGTCTTACATTGTGTCCCTCTACTTGTGATATTCCCTGCATGGTGCTCTATACTAGGGTGTCAACAAGGTTCTGGCTCACTGTCCACAGATCGCTGATAACATTCATCGTAGACTGTAGATAGGGTCATTCACCCCAGACATTTGCCCCTACACACCATGGATCCTAACTCCCTGAGTCTTTGTTATTTTTGTTGTTGTTCTTGTTGTTGTTTTTCTTTTCTTTTCTTTTTACTATTGTTGATGGTTTTATTATCTTCTGTGTTTCTTGTGGTTTCAATGACCTGACATCAGATTTCACCTTTCTTTACTGTCCATTCTTCCAGTCAACTGGATCAGAGACATTATAATAATTAGTATTTGTCTTATACTTTTTAAGGAAATACAACCTTGAAAAAAATTCAGATAAGTATGGATAATAAGTGAATTGATCAGTGAATGAATGAAGTTGCAGCATCCTTTATGTCTCCCTCTAAATATGTACTTACATAAAAGACTCATACATGTGTATACATATTAATGTATATATGTATGTTTATACATACAAACATATATATGATTTTCCAATTCCATTGAATTTTACATGAATTTACAAAATATATTTATGTGTGAGTCCTGTGCAGGGCTGTGCCTCAGTGTATGTGGATGGATGCAGGACACAGCATCTAGGTGGAGGTCAGAGGGCACACTGTGTTCATCACTTCTCAGGTCATCAGACAATGAAGCAAATGCTTACATCCATTAATCCGTGTCACTGATCAACTCGAGGGTAAGTTTTTGTTAGCATATGCATAGCTGAGAACATTAATCTTCGGAATATTCTTCTCATGGTAATTAACTTTATATAAGAAAAATCTCATGCCCATCATTAAAATTTATATTCACTATGTGCTTTCTGATGAGGAGCTTCTACTGACTCTTTGTATTCTCTTCTAAAACCCCAAGACTTCTCTCAGGACTTTTTGCCTATTAGGAGAATCGAGACAGCAGAGGGATCTACTGTCATGCTCCTGCACACCTGTAAGCAGAGCTCCTAACAGGTGGTATACTTTTCGCAGAGAGCCACAGGGGTATCATTCTTCTGTGAAATTTCAGCTCCAGCCTAACTCCTGAGTTCAGTTGTACTTTCTCTTATTAAGTGGACCCTCCACCCAGGAAGCAGCATCTCCCTGAGTTCCATGAGCTGTGGATGGGTCTGTGTTCAAAACACTGTTCTGCCTCCTTGACTCTCAGTACTGCCCAGTGTCCCTCTCCTCTTACTTTTTTACATTTTAGGTTGTCATATGACACTATGATCAAAAAAGCTGTGGAGTAACTCTGTGCCCTGAGAGAACAGCAACTTAACTCAGGGCTGAATTCTACTATGGCCTGGATTTGGTCTGTCAGCACAAAATAGAGAGCCTCTGTGTTTCTTGCGTGAAGCACAAACTCTGCTGCAGAAACAGTCTACCCATTAATCTCCAAAGTTTTAAGATGGAATTTTTCTCTCATCTAGAAGTGGACAGAAATGCCTGTGAGTGCTTCAAACATGAACAGCTGAATGATGGAGGAAGACAGGGGCAGAACTCTTCTGAGTGGAGCCACCAGGCAGCATTCTGAACCAAGAAAAGGACCAGAAGAAGATTTACACGTTTCACACCTTGAGTTTATGTGAATTGGTATCCTGAGTCCTGGGAAGACAGAGTAGATTCCATTGTCCCTGTAAGAGTTTCAAGATGGTGCTCTCAGCTCTGCTTGATGAGCTGTGTGATTGGATTGCCTATGTGCTCCCTGGGTTTTCTGGGATGCCCTGGACATCTGTGTAAGTGATGTCCCTCAGCTACTGTATCTTTCCAAAAGAAAATGTGTAAAAGCAAAAAATGAACATGATTCTATGGAAGTATAGCAAACAAAGAACCAGCCATTAGGTCTAAAAAAAAGCTGTGCCCTTGACTTCATGATCTGTAAGGGTACAAGTAAAAGCCAGGCTGAAAGGTAAGGTCCTGGTCCAGACAAACACTGTTCTGAATATGCATTATATGTCACAATAGTTCACATATTGATAACTGGGGGAACTTCAGTTCATGCTTGCGGAACTATACAGATGAGCACAGCTTGTTGTCATTGGCCTGCAGAAAAGAATTCTCTTACCTAGGCTCCAGAGGACAAACATTTCTTAGGAGTACTAATGTTCTTTTCTTTCTCTGGCAACAATGACTTTCCTATAAGCCCCATAAGCTTATAAGGACAGTTAGTTAATAGACTGGGAATATGTCCAGCTATACTATACTTGCTCAGTAACTAGGGAATATCCCATTATTTCCATCCACCAAGTGGTCTCATTGTCTATCAGGATCTTCCTCAAAGACATAATCCTGGACAGAATCTGAAAGTGTAGACAGGGGCTAATATCCTTGGGATGAGTTACCCACCATAAATTAAGGTACCTACATGGTGAATTCAAATGAAGCACTCTGGTCAATTGCAGTTATTCTGTACCATGTAACTCCTGCACTAAATGCCCAAGTCCCTACATGAAAATACAGCAAACAGTGAGGTTGTCTACTCTATGTGTATACTGAAGTGCAAAAACCCGAGTGTGGAAAAGCTACAACAGAAAGGTGAGCAGGTCCAGTTCCTTCTATACGGTTCAGTGTATAAAGTAGGATAAACCATGTACAGCACCTGGAGGCCATCAAGAGTCACTTACGATTTACACGGAGTTGAACATGGACTTTTTCCATTTTGAAGTCTTTGCTTAAAATTTCTAGCATGTAAAATCCTGCATCATTCTCCGTGACATCAAGTATCAACAGGGATCCATTTGTGTAACTCATCTCTCTTCCACTGTATGCAGGCCCCGAGATGATAGAATCAAAGACTTTGCTGTATTCTAATATTTTGAATTTATCTGACCTATATGCTGATTTGTACCAGAAAAATGCTTGAAAGTTGTCTGGCAAATTATGAACTAGGAGAAGAACACTTTTCCCTACAGCAACACTCTGTGGGACTGATTCAATCTTGACTTGCAAAGGGTGACAGCAAGTAGAAATGGAGGCTAGACAAAAAAAAAGAGAAAAAATAATTATCATTGAGAATATTCAGTTGGTGGGAATGTACTGATCTTTGTCATGAGCAAATAGATTTATCACTCAGCTTAAAGCTGCAGGTGTGGATATGCCTATCCTACTTAGTGAATGTCAGCAATGCTTCTTCCCTTCTCTCAGGGATACTGAGTGTATCATTTCTCTGCCAGGATATCTCTCTCTCTCTCTCTCTCTCTCTCTCTCTCTCTCTCTCTCTCTCTAATTTTTTCCATGTCTTCACCCTCACTGCCCTCTAGTCAGATACTGGGCACAATCATGGCAACTTAAGATTGAGATGATGCCTACTCTGAACTCTGTGAATTTTATTCCAATTTTCTTTATAGCTACAGACAATCACTAACTGCACCTGACAGATGTGCTTGCTGCTATACTCTGCATCCCACGGGATTTGGGCTGATTGATGGTAAGGAGAAATCTGATATTCTTCTCAGGCTCAAGTATTAGAATAGGTTGGAATACTAGAATGGCTGGCTTTAAGTAATCTTGACACATGTTAGAATCCTTTGAAAATGGAACCCTCAGTTTAATATGCCACTACAAGATTCACCTATAGTGTATAATGTTTAATGGGATATTGATAATAAAAGGTCCAGACCATTGCAGGAAAATCCACCCCCTGGCAGATGATAAAAGAGAACACAGCACACTGAGCAAGCCATAAGGGTCAAGCCTGTATGCAGCACTCCTCATTTTAACTGCATGAGATCCTAGATTATATTCATAGACCTCTGATGCTTGGAGCTGATAAATACCCTAGTTTGACATGGTTGACCTAAAACCCCGGTTCCCTCTAAGCACTAAGAAAAGTAACATTGATGTCCTGGCAAATAATCCCCAGGGTCACCTGTGGCGAATCCTGGGTCAGATAACTGTTTTCAGGGCTTCCTAGTACTCACTTCTCTGTGAGAATGCAATGGTTTCCTCATATACATGGCTACAACTCTGATTCTTGGCAGACTCTGGCATCTTAAGCTGAGTTGCTTCCCATCAATGACATCTTTGGTACAGGAGAGAGTCAGATAACAATATCTGATCTATGGCTGTTTGGCTGAAACATGTGTGGCCTGCACTAACTGCTCAAACAACAACATGGGGACACAGTGCACTGGATGAAGGAAGCATAGTACAGGCATGACAATCCTGTGAGTCTAAACCCCAGCTAGGAATGAACAATCACCAAGAACCACTTACTGTCCAGCTGGAGTTGCACATACGCCACTTCATCTTTCAGATCTGTATTCATAGTTTGTAGAGTATAGAATCCACTATCATTCTGTATGACCTTCTGGAGCAGCAGGGATCCATTGCTGTACATTGTTTCTCGACCACTGTGTGCAGGCCCTGGAATACTTGAACTTGTGGCTATTATGTGTTGGATGAGCTCAAATTTCTTCTCTGCAATCACCCCTTTGTACCAGAAAAGGGATAGAAGGTTTTTTGGGAGATTGTGAACCTGTAGAAGAACACTTTGACCTTCAGCAATGCTGGGTGGCACCGATTCTATACTGAGCTGTCCAGGGGAGGGGGAGTCCATGGAGTTTGAAACAAAGCCTAAATGCAAAGAGAGAGAATCATATTAATTGTGACCTTTGTGTTTTCTTAAAATAAGGCCTTGTGTCCTGAGGAGTGCTCATTGTAAAGTCTGTGTAGGGGAGTGTCTCCCTGTCCTACTTTGTGTCCCTCTACTTGTGGTATTCTCTGCATGGTGCTTTCTACTCGGGTGTCATTCTGGCTCACTCTCTTCAAATCTCTGATATAAATCAGGTAGCTTTGCCTCTACACACCCTGCATCTTAGCTCCCTGATTCTTTCTTACTGTTGTTGTTTTTGTTGTTGTTCTCTTTTGTATTTCTTGTGATTCCAATCACCTGACTTCAGATGTCTACCTTTCTTTCCTGACATTCTTCCAGTCAACTGAGTCTGGGACATTGTATGAATTGGGATTTGTCTCATACTTCTTAAGAAAATACAGCTGAGAAAAATAATCAGATACCTCTAGATAATGAATGACTGAATTAATGAATGAATCAAGTTGTAGCATCCTTTATGTCTCTCTCTATATATGTAAATATAAAGAAGATTCATATATGTATACATATGTATGTATATGTATATATACATATACATGTATATATGTATGTGTCTGTATATGAATATTACTATCTGTACATGCATATAAATGATTCATAGGTTTCAACATACAATGCCTAATTTTCCCAATTGCTTTGACTTTTTACACTTATTTACAAATTATATTAGTGTGTGAGACCTGTGCAAAGCTCTGTCTCAGTGTGTGTAAATGGATGCAGGACACAGCACCTAGATGGAGGTCAGAGGGCACACTGTGTTCATCACTTCTCAGGTCATCAGACAATGAAGCAAATGCTTACATCCATTAATCCATGTCACTAAACAACATGGGTAATTTTTTGTTCGGGAAGGCATAGCTGAGAACATTAGTCTTCATAATATTCTTGTAATGGTAATTAACTTCATATAAGAAAAATCCTGTGCCTATCATTAAAATTTATGTTCACTATGTGCTTTCTGATGAGGAGCTTCTGTCTGACTCTTTGTATTCTCTTCTAAAACCTCAAGACTTCTCTCAGGACTTTTTGCCTATTAGGAGAATCTAGACAGCAGGGTGATCTGTTGTCATGCTCCTGTGCACCTGTGAGCAGAGCTACTGAGAGATGGTATACACTTTGCAGAGGGCCACAAGGGTATTCTTCTTCTGTTAAACTTCAACTCCAGCATGGCTCCTGAGCTCAGCTGTACTTACTCTTCCTAAGTGGAGCCTCCTTCCTGCAGTGGCCTCTCCAAGAGTTCCATGAGCTGTGGATGGGTCTGTGTTCAAAACACTACTCTGCCCCCTCAACTCTCAGTACTACTCTTTGTCCCTCTTCCCTTCCTGTCTTTAAATTTTAGTTTTCCAAACCATGCTGTGATTAAAAAGGTTGAAAAGTCTCCATGTAACCTGAGACAACAGCAAATTAACTCAGTGCTGACTTCTACTATGCCCTGGATTTGGTCTGTCAGCCCCAAAGAGAGAATCTCTGTGATTCCTGTATGAAGCACAACCCAGCTGCAGACACAGCCTACCCACTGATCTTAAAGTTCTATAAAGATGAAATTTTTCTCTTGGCTAGAAGTGGACAGAGAAGCCTGTGAGAGCTCCAAATGGGACCAGCTGAGTGATGCAAGAGGAAACATGAGGAGGTCTTCTGAGTGGAGCAACCAGGCACCATTCTGAACCAAGACAAAGGACCAGGGCAAGGTTTATGGAATTTCATACTGTGGGTTACTGTGTGTTGATAACCTGAGTCTTGGAAAGTCAGTGTAGACTCCATTGACCCTTGAAAATTTTCAAGAAGGTGCTCCCAGTTCTGCTTGATGATATGTGTGATGGGTCTGCTTATGTGTTCCCTAGGCTTTCTGGGATACCCTGGACTTCTGTCTAGGTGATGACCCTTGGCTACCCTATCTTTCCCAAAGGAACTGTACAAAGTTGATAAATGAACATTTATCCTAGCAGAGTAGCAAACATAGAAACCCGCCATTAGATCTAAAACGGCTATGTCCTTCACTTCCCAATCTCTAGTAGAAAAAATAGAAGTCAGGCTGAAAAGTGAGGTCATGGTTCAGATAGATACTATCCTGAATATGAATTGTGTGTCACAGGAGTTCAGATATTGATAACTGGGAAAACTGCAGCTCATGCCTGAGGAACTATCCAGATGAGCATAGCCTGTTGCCATTTGCTGGCAGAAAATAATTCCCTGAGCTAGACCCCAGAGGACAAACACTTCATAGGAGGACTAATGTCCTTTTCCCTCTGTCTGGCAACTGTGCCTTTCCTATAAGCCCCATAAGCCCATCAGGACAGTTAGTTAATAGGCTGGGAACATGCCCAGCTATGCTATCTTTCTCAGTAACTAGGGAGTATCCCGTTATTTCCTCAACCAGATGCTGTCATTGTCTCTCAGGATCTTTCTCAAAGACACATTTCTGAACAGAATCCCAAAGTGTAGACAGGAACTGATATCCTTGGGATGAGTTACCCACCATAATTTAAGGTACCTGCATGGTGAACTCAAATGAAGTATTCTGATCAATTGCAGTTATCCTGTAACATGTGAATTCTGCACTAAATGCCCAAGTCCCAACACGAAAATACAGCAAACAGTGAGGTTGTCTACTCTATTTGTATACTGAAGTGTAAATACCCAGTGTGGAGAACAATGCAATGGGAAGGTGAGTAGGTCCAGGTTCTTCAATACAGTTCAATGTATATAGCAGGATAAGCCATGTACAGCACCTGGAGGCCATCAAGAGTCACTTACGATTTACATGGAGTTGAACATAGGCGTTTTCAATTTTGAAGTCATTTCTTAAAATTTCGAACATGTAAAATCCTGCATCCTCCTCAATGACATTAACTATCAACAGCGATCCATTGGTGTATACCATCTCTCTTAAACTGTATGCCATCCCAAGGATGGTGGTATCCAATGCTCTGTTGTATTCTGCAATTTTGAATGGATCACTCTTATATACTGATTTGTACCAGAAAAATGCTTGAAAATCATCTGGCAAATTATGAACTAGGAGAAGAACACTTTTTCCTACAGCAACATTCTGAGGAACTGATTCAATCTTGACTTGCAAACGGTGACAGCAAGTAGAAAGGGAAGCTAGACAAAAAAAAAGAGAAAAAAATAATTATTGGGAATATTGGCTTGGTGAGAAGGTGCTGATCTTTGTGATGAGCAAATATATTTATCACTTAGCCTAAAGCTGTAGGTGTGGTATGCCTCTCCTACTTGTTGAATGTCATTAATGTGACTTCCATTATCTAAGGGTGCTGAGTGTTTCATTTCTCTTCAAGGATCTCTCTTTTCTCCTCTCCTCTTCTCTCCTCTCCTCTCCTCCCCTCCCCTCCCCTCCCCTCCCCTCCCCTCCCCTCCCCTCCCCTCCTCTCCTCTCCTCTCCTCTCCTCTTCTTCTTCTCTCTCTCTCTCTCTCTCTCTCTCTCTCTCTCTCTCTCTCTCCCTTTCTCATTTTTTCATAGCACTCTCATTTCCACTGAAGTTTGAGATGCTTCCTCTGAACTCTGTGACTTTTATTCCAATTTACTTTATAGCTTCAGACAACCACTCACTCCACCTGATGGATATGCTTGCTGCTCTACTCTGCAGCCCATTTAGTTTGTGCTGAATGAGGGCAAGGAGAAGTCTGATCTTTTTCTCAGTCTCAGGTATTAGAAAAGATTCAGGTACTAGAATGGCTGGCTTTAAGTATTTCTTGACACATGCTAGAGTCCTTTGGAAAATGGAAGCCTCAGTTTGATATGCCACTATAAGATTCACCTGTAGTATATAATGTGTAATTGGATATTGATATTTCAGGGTCCTGACCACAGACATGACAATCCTGTGAGTCTAAGCCCCACCCAGACCTGAAAAATCACAGAGAACTACTTACTGTCCAGGTGGAGTTGCACATGTGCTACTTCGTCTTTCAGATCTGTACTTATAGTTCGTAGAGTATAGAATCCACTATCACTCTGTGTGACCTTCTTTAGCAGCAGGGACCCATTGCTGTGTACTGTCTCTCGACCACTGTGTGCAGGCCCTGGAACACTTGAATTTGTGGCTTTGATGTACTTGGCAACCTCAAATTTCTTCACTGCAACCACCCCTTTGTACCAGAAAAGGGATAGAAGATTTTTTGGGAGATTGTGAACCCATAGAAGAGCATTTCCCCCTTTAGCAATTCTGGGTGGGACTGATTCAATGGTGAGCTTGCCATAGGGAGAAGGGTGCTCACATGTCCAAAGAGATGCTAGAAGAAAAAGAAACCCATATAAATCAGCATGCTTTTTGGTAAGATGATACCCTGTATTCTGATCAGGTATGTTCATTGTTAAGTCTAATCATGTGGGTATATTTCTCTCTGTCCTACTTTGTGTCCCTGCTCTTTTATTTTCCTCTGCATGACACTCGCTACTCAGGTGTCAGTATGACTCTGAATCACTACCCTTGATGTACCTGCTAACATTCATTGTAGATTGGTATTGGGTTGATGACTCCTATAACTTTTTCCCTACAAACCCTGTAGCTTAACTCTCTAACTCTTTGTTGTTGTTGTTCTCTTCCTCTTGTGGTTCCAGTCAATACCTGGTTTCAACTTCAAGCTTTTTTTATCTGCCAGTCTTCTAGTCAACTAGGGCAGTAGCTTCTTGAGAACTGTGATTTTTCTTATAATTTTTAAGGAAAAGTAGCCTGTAAAACAATCATTTACCTATGGCTGAATCTATTTTGTTATAGGACTCTGTGTGCCCTTAAACTTATTTAAAATATTAGTAAGTTTGGGCATACCATGCCCAACCATAAAGTTCTTCAGTTTTTTTACTTTTTAAACTTATTGACAAATTATATTGTATGTGTTCATGTGAATGGGTGTATCGCAGTGTATGTAGGTAGGTGCAGGACATAGTACCTATGTTGAGGTCAGAGGACACGTTGAGTTCATTGGTTATCACATTATGAGACAATGATACAAATGCCTATGTCCACTGAACTATGTCACTGTTCAATATCTGCTTGATATTTTTGTTTGGTAAATCATAGCTGAGAACACCAGTTTCCAGAAATTTTTAATAATGGTTAAGTTTATGTAAGAAAAATCTCACACTGTTTTCATATAGAATATACGTACTAAAAAAGTTCAGTCTGTAAAAGAGTCTTACCCTGATTAAGTTTCTTCATATACTCTTTCATTGTGCAACAGTGGCTCTGTGTGTAAATGCTATGCACTGAGGATACACAAATATGATATGTACAGGATAATGCCTCATACACATCAGATGTCTATTTGTTAATATGTTGTTAACTCTTTATCTCTTAGTGTTATAAACTCCACTTAAAACTGGTTAAAGTCTCATTCTTGTCAAAAAATATCTCACACCCATCCTTACCATTTCTTTTTCATCGTGAACTTCCTGATGCTGAGCCTCTATACGGTTCTGTGAATTCTCTCCTAAAAACATTGAGAATCCTCTCAAGTCCTTGTCATACTTTGAATAATCTAGACAGTGGAGTGATTTATTCTCATGATCTTCCTTACCTGTGAGAATGAGCTCCTGACAATTGGTGGGCTGTGGTAGGATTTTGATCATAATGTGAACCCTGAGATTTTTTTATTTACTGGAAAATCTTGTTTCTAGTTGGACTGTTCAACCTCACCTCGACAGTTTTCTGTTATTTTAAACAGGATTAAGTATAGTCAACCATAGGTCAAGTGTCAGGACAAGCACCCAGTTTACATAGAGTAAACATGGAAAAAGTGTAGAATATAAGAAGGACACAGGAGGATGGATACAGATACTCACAGGAAGAGTGGAGACATATTCAGTTTGAAAGGGTTTTGTGAAAGGAAAGGAGTGAGAAATCTCTATTGGGGAATGTCAACTGAGGAGGAAGGTCAGCTAGGTGCTTTTTCTGCTTCTCTGGCCCCTGAAACCTTTTTGGTAAAATTTATATTTCATCAAAAAAAATAAACCACCATTTGGCACACCAATGCATGTCACAACCACCATGACAGAAAAATCATTCCAGATGCACACAAACTGAGAAGCCATCAGATTTGGTAAATCACTTGAGAAGTTCTCAAGGAGAGAGATAAGCATGGAAAATACCAAAACACAAGGTGCTAGGACCCTGTATGTAATGTTGCCTTAGATGGCTTGACAACATAAATGGATAATGGAAATATAATTAAGATTGACATAATGGCAATTACAATTACTATTAGTCTGTTAATTCATATTTTATCCTCAATAGCCATAGATTTAGAAGCAAAAAAGAAGAATACTGAGGCACAGGAGAATTTGAGCAAGAATCCTTGGCCTATGTCAGATTCTTGCCAATGAGCTTCAATTTTTTTAAGCCTCTACCTTCTATACAGATGCAAATAAATAAGGAAAGGCAGGTTATAAGTCACAAAAAAAATGAATGAAGTGGCTCAGAGTTCTTGATATTCAGTTAAAAAAATCAAAGTTATGTGCCATTCTTTTATGATACTTTTAGATTTTCTGGAATCTCTTAATATAGTTATTGACTCTCAATATGCAGAGTTGTTTTACATATTAAGGCCCCTAAACTTATTCCAGATAATTCAATATGTCCAACTATTTATCCAAGTACAACAAGTAATCAGAAATAGAATTCATCCATTGTATATAACATATCAGATCCAATATGGATCTACCAGACCCTCTTAGCACAAAATAAAGATGAGACTGAGCAGACATTATTATGAAATGTGCTACAATCTTCAGAATTTTATAAGAAATACAATGTTATCTGCAAAGTTCAGAAGATTTCCTTAACAACAAGCCAAGGAAATTATAAGGAAAAGTACTAATTGTTCTTTATATAACCAAACCCAATTATCTGCAGGAAGTTACCCAAATTGTACCCAAGGAATTGAAAATTGGCAAATGGATGTGTTTCATTTTTCAGAGTTTGGAAAATTAAAGTATGTACACCATACCATACTCAGGATACATACTCAGGATTTCAATGGGAAACTCCTTTAAGTTCTGAAAAGTTTGATTTTGTAATTACACATGGCTAATATGAAATATCTGTACAAATTAACACTGACAATGCTGCAGCATATGCATCTAGTAAAATAAAACATTTTTGCATATTACAATATAAAGTATATTACAGCTATACCACATAATCCTGAAGGACAGGCAGTTGAAGAGAGACTAACTGTACTTTAAAACAGATGCTTAACAAACAGAAAGGGATCATGAAGACCACCAAAATAGATTACAGGGTGCTGTATTAACTTTAAATTTTTAAATGCTAATGAGAAAGGAACAACACCTGTAAAGAGACATCAGATAGGAATAAAACTGCTGATTTAAATTGGTCTGTATAATTTAAAGATGCATTGACCTCAGAAAAGAAATGAGGATATATGTTATTTTTGTGGAGAGGTTTTGTCTTTGTTTCCACAAGAGAAGAAAATCTGTGGATACCATCAAAATTGACAGAGATTATATTTGCACAGGAGAGATCTCCTGCAAAAGGAGAGGCAGTAATTCATCAAACAACTTGGTTATTCAGTCCAACCTAAATTATAAAGACTAAAAAATGCCTTTATTTTGATTGAGCATTAATGATAATAATAATAGTAATAATAATGATAAAATTTCAAATGATATTTTACCAAAGGGTGTCTTGCCTTATGTAATGGAATAAAAATGGTTTTCATAAACCACATGTCTTAGTTTCATGTTAGAATGTGAGACTGCAGATTGTAACATGGCCCATGCCATCTTAAAAATCAGCTTTCAAGTTTTCTTCTTAAACAAAAATGATATTTTTGTTGTTTGGTATTAAAACACAGTTAAGGAGTTTAAAATGTTTTAAGTAAATTCAAAGGCTTATTAAAGATCAAAGTTGTTTTCTAAATATCTAAGAATTGGGTCCATCCTGTGCATTTCCCCCACGGCAGATCATCAGCATGCCTGCCCCTCTGAAAGCCACACAGTCTGAAGGCCTCCCAGGAGATCTACTATACACACGGCAACAGGTAAGGGACTTTCCCAAATAACTGAAACAGCTGGGACCCTAGAGGAGCCCAGCAGATTAGGGACCCATCCCCTCTGCTCAAACTCCACCTCCCTTCCAGCCTGTGCCTTCCAGTAAGACAGATCATTAGCATGGTCAGCATGTTTGCCCCTCTGAAGACCAGGCAGTGTGAAGGCCTCCAAGTGGACTTACTGCACCCAGAGCAACAGGTAAGGGAATCTCCCAAATAACCACAGCTGGGACCATCAAGGAGCCTAGTGGACACAGGACCCATCCCCCTCCACTCAAACTCTACCTCCCTTCCCACCAGGTAGATTATCAGAGTGTTTGGCCCTCTGAAGATTCTACATCTGAAGGCATCCTATGAGATTTGCTGTACCCATGGCAACAGACCCCACAGTCTGAAGGCATTCAAGGATATCTGCAGCAGATGGACCAGAGGTATCCCAGGAGACCTGCAGCAACAAAGAGACACAGGAGGCAGGCTCCAGACAGAGACACCCAATCCAGTTAAGACCAGAGATAACTAGAGGGTAAGAGACAAGCACAAGACCATAAGCAACAGAAACCAATATATTTTGGCACCATCAGAACTCAGTTATTCCACCATAACAAGCCCTGTATGTCCCAACACACTGGCCCTATCTGCAGCAGATCTCCTGGGCAGCCTTCAGACTGTAGGATCTGTTGGCCTTGGTGCAGCAACAGACCTTGGTGCTGACCTAAAATCCTATCTCATTAAGATAATAGAGTCCTTTGAAGAGGATATAAATAACTCATGGAAAGAAATCCAGCAAAACATAAGAAAATAGTTAGAAGTCATTAAACAGGAAATAAGTAAACTCCTTAAAGAAATACAGGAAAACACAATGAAACAGGTGAAAGAATTGAACCAAGCAGTCCAAGACCTAAAAATAGATGTAGAAACAGTAAAGAAAACACAAATGTAGGCAACTTAGGAAATGGAAAACCTAGGAAAGAGGTTACGAGATACAGAGGCAAGCATCACCAACAGAATACAAAAGATGTTAGAGAGAAACTCATGTATAGAAGATACCTTAGAAGATATTGACACCACAGACAAAGAAAGTGGAAAGCATAAAAAAACTACTAACCCAAAACATCCAGGAAATTCAGGACTTAATAAATAGATCAAACCTAAGAATAATGGGTACAGAAGAGAGTGAAGATTCCCAGCTCAAAAGACCAGAAAACATCTTCAACAAAATCATG